ACATATTGTTGTTGAAAACTTTTTTTTTTTTCAGATTAATTTTTTTTTCCTGTATTAAATCTGTGTGTGATCTGGTCTGTGTTGATTTGTTGATGATGATGAAACATAGTGATATATATTGTTTTGTTGTTGTGTTGAACAAAATTCAAAATAAAACTCAGGGATTTTTCGGGGTCGGGGAAACCCGATCCCCGTTAGGGGACGGGGACGGGGAGTTGATGGGTTCCCCTGCCGGGGATCAGGGGCGGGGACGGGGATTTTTGAGCCTTCGGGGATCGGGGACGGGGAGGGTAGTCCCCGGCCCCGCCCCGCCCCGCCCCGTTGCCATTCCTAACTTAGATCCACTAGTGCATCGCCCCTCCAAATAAGAATTAAATTGGGAGTCAACCAAAGAATAAGGATCATCATCATCATCATCTTCTACCATATTCACAACTTCACTCACACTTGGAAGTTTCCCATTTGAAGAATAAAGTGTGACATAATGGCTACACAAGCGACTCAAACAATTCTTAACCTTGTCTACCATATCTTCCACCTTCTTATTATCTCCAAGAAATAAATTTGAAAAGCAAAACTCAAGGTATGCCATTTTTTTGGTAGGATCAAGAACAACTGCAACATACAATAACAAATTGATCTTACTTCCATCCCCCCAATACTTGCTAAACTTTTGTTTCATAATCTTTGTCATTGTGCTCAGAATATCATCCTCCAAAATTAATTGATTAATTTTGCTTTCAATAACAAACATTTCTTTGTAAAAAGCATTGGAAGTAACAAAGAGAGACCCCGAAAACTTTTTAGTTGCAAGATAAAATAATTTTAGAAACCTCAAAAACAATCTACATTTTTTCCAATCGAACTCATTCGGACTTCTTATACCACCATCAACATTCTTGAAATAAGGTTCAAAATTGGAATCCACAAACTTCAAGCGGTTAAAAGCCTTCTCATAATTTTCGGTGGCCTCCAACATCAAATAGGTAGAGTTTCACCTAGTTGGTACATCTAGGCATACAAGAGCTTTTGAATCAAGGTTGAGTGTGGCCGCACACTTCTTAAAAGCATCATGCCTATGAGGAGAAGATCTCACATATCTCACCACAAGTCTAATGTTGGCAATAGAATTGTCCATTTCTTTCAACCCATCACTCACAACGAGATTAAGAATATGTGCACAACAACGCATGTGAATAAACTAATGTTGCAAAATAGTTCCCTTCCAATCTTTGGTTATTGTTTTCAAATATTGAATGGTAAGATTATTAGAACTAACATTATCAACTGTTAAGGTGAATATGCTATCACTGTTCCACTTAATCAAACAGGACTCAATTTTCCTACCCAATGTTTCTTCTTTGTGATCTTCAACTTGTTGAAAATTTATGATTCTTTTTTGAAGTTTTCAGTTATCATCAATGAAATGAGCAGTCAAACACATGTAACACAAATTCTGAATAGATGTCCAAGTATTCGTAGTAAAGAAAATTTTACAACCCTTCATGGCCTTCTTCAACTTATCTCTTTCATTCTTGAATATGTTAAGCATTTCTCTAGAAATGGTATGATGAGAGGGGATTGGTGTGAATTTGGGTTGCATGACATTACAAAATTTTCTAAACCCAACTCCCTCCACAAATCTAAATGACAACTCATCAATGACAAGACAACCATCTCCGCAAGAGATTTTTTACAAGCATCAAAATTAAACGTTGTTGCTACAACCTCAACACTCTCTTCATTTTGTTTCGGTTTAAGATTTAATGTTTGTTGACCATCTTTATCCCTATTTGGATATGCTTTACAATTGGGTGTATGCCTCCTCAAATTACTAGTCTCATGAAGTCTAGAGTCAACCAAATACTCTTTCTTGCAATATTTGCATACAGCTCTACGCTTCCCATCGGTCCCAAAAACCTTATCAAAATGATATCAAACTGTGGATGGTGCTCTCCCCCCTCCACCCTCACTACTTCTCTTTGGGGGTCTAGGAGGTAGGGCTGTTCAAAAATCCGTTCAAACCGGTAATCCGGACCGAACCAAACCGAATCGTACGGTTTGGTTCGATTCTATTAAGAATTGGTTTGGTTTCAGATTAAGAAATATGAGAATCGTAAAAACGGTTCGGTTAATGGATTTTATGAAAAAACCGCGGTTCGAACCGAACCGAACCGAATTAAAAAAAATATATAATATCAAGTTTTATTTTTATTAATTGGTTTTTTATAATTTTAATGATATTAGGATGGTATAGATATATAATATGAAGTAATGCCTTTATATTAATAGTTTTTATCATGAGTTAAATGTAATTAGTTTGAGTAATTATTTTGCTAATATTAACAATTTATTCTTGTAAATAGAAATTTCTAGAACCGTAAACCAAACCGAAACTGATCCGTTTTTTCGGTTTGGTTCTGGTCCGGTTTTACAAGTGTAACGGTCTGGTCTGATTCTCAAAATCACAGAACCATTAGGATCGGTTCGGTTCTTGGATTTTCTCAGAATTGAATCAATCCGGACCGTGTGCACCCCTACTACGAGGCTTAGGTTCAGGTTCGGGTTGGGCTAAGGGGGGATTCATTTGAGAATTAGAGGATTCCGGAGGTAAAAGATTCACTACGGGAGATTCAATAGTATCCTCCATTCAAATTGTATTACAAATTCAATTCAGATTCAAAAAAAAATTCGGATTCAATTTCATCCAGATTCAAAAAAAAAATTCAGATTCAATTTCAAAAAATTCATATTCAATTCAGATTCATCATCCCTTGCAATTTAAATTCAGATTCAATTCAAATTCATCATCCTTTGCAATTTAATTTAATTTAATTCAATTCAATTCAATTCAATTCAAATTCAGATTCGATTCAATTCAAATTCAGATTCATCATCCCTTGCAATTTAAACAGATTAAAATTACAAAGATTAAATTAAATAGATTAAAAAAAATTAAACAGATTCAATTTCAATTTCATTATGTTTAATTCAGATTCAGATTACAAAGATCACAAAGATCAAATTAAACAGATTCAAATTCAAAAGTAAACAGATTACAAAGATTCAAATTAAACAGATTCAAAAGTAACCGGGTAAGTAAATTAAACAAAAATGAGAGAGTGAGACATTGATAGGTCAAGTTAAACAAAAACAAAAGAGAGAGAGACAGGTCTGGGAGGGAAACAGACAGACAGAGAGAGAGTGAGACAAAGATAGAGATACAAATCATAGATCAAGGAGAGAGAGCGAGACAGAGAGAGCCTTACCTCAGAGTTGTCGGAGAGAGAGAGTCGATTGCAAACGTCAATCGTCGTGTGCGAGCTGAGCAGATGAAAAACGAGAGAGAGATGAGAAGATGAAGGTCAATCGATGCGAGCTGTGTAGATGAAAAACGAGAGAGGGTGAGACAGATCTGATCGCCTAAAAAAAAAACACAGATCGGGGAGAGAGAGTGAGACAGAGATAGATACAAATCACAGAATGAGGAGAGAGAGTGAGACAGAGAGAGCCTTACCTCAGAGTTGCAGGCAAGAGAGAGTCGATTGCGAAGGTCGATCGTCGCGTGCGAGCTGCGCAGATGAGAAGATGAAGAGAACTCTCTCTGTGTCTCAGTGGGTTAGTGAGATAAGAGAGTGAGATTAGGGTTTTGTTCTTTTCAATTGGTTTTGTTTGGGTTGGGGCAAAAAATATCAACGGTCCAGCTTTTTTCCCCAAAAAAATAAAATAAAAAAGAAATGTGGGCAGTTGTGGCGGGGGGGGGGGAAACTCACAACTCGCCCGCAACCTGAAAAATTGAAATATTTCAAACCGCACCCTACCCTATTGTATTTGCGAAACCGCCCATACGTGTGCAGGTAGGGCGGGTTGTGCCGGTTGGATAACCCTATGCCCAACCCTAGTCATAAATACCCTTTCATAACATAAATGAGATGACAACCACAACTTTATTGTCTCATCTCATCCCCAACACGTTCTTGATCTCCTTGTTTGAAGGAATGAAAACCATGTAGTACTTCCCCCACATATCTATAACAAGGACCCTTTCTGCTCCCACTGCTCACTCACTATTCACCCAGTATTGTAACTGCCTTGCCTCTGGAATTACCTTGCCTTAGAGGGGACAAGACTAAACTATGGAGTCACATATTTTATACAAAAATAATAATACATAATCTCCCTGTCAGATATACAATTTAGCAAATAAGACAATTTTAAATTATCAAATTTGTTTCAACAATATTTTGCTGTAGCAATGTCATCACCAAGAAAAAACAAATCTCCACAACACACCACCTACCTGAAAAGAACCAATAAATGATATCTTTGCTACAACGCTCGTCTCGTATTGTAACAACACTGGACCATTCTACTAAAAACAATAAATTTAACATGCTATGTGTCAAACAATGATTGAGCCCCACTTATGCCAAGCAAGGGTGCACTATCAGATTCTGTTGAAACAACAAAGTGCAAACCAAACCAAACAAGAGTGGACCCAAATATGAACCACCCCTTGTTGCACCCCGATTGCGGCTTATGACAACACAAAACGCCTACAATTTAAACACACACATAGCAGGATTACAATATATACAATATGCACATTTGGTTAAAAGTCTATCAAGTGCTCAATCTCTTTTGACTTCTCTCTTCTTCATGTACTTTATCCGGTTCATGCTTCTTCTGTCTCGTTGCTGTATATGTTTCTTTTGGAAAAGTTTTCTGCTTTATTGCTGTGTAAATGCTTTGTCATGAAGATCTTAGTGTTCCTTTTTTTTTATCCGCCCATAAAGTGCTTACTTGTTCCTTATTGTTTTCTTACAAAATGTTATTTGGTTTATGTTGTACTATATATCTCTCATCAGGTGTGTTTAAACATTTGTTATTGTGTATTTTTCCTCGTCTTTGTACTCTATTTCTTTGACTTCTGGTGATATATTTTTATTTTTACTCAATCATGATAAAGTTCTTGGTGCTGATATTTTACTTTATCTCAGTTTATTGGCACTCCCCATTGGATGGCTCCAGAAGTTATTCAGGAAAGTCGTTATGATGGAAAGGTACTAAGAGGTATTATGTACATTGAAGTGCCTGCATGGAATGAATTTTTTTTTTTTTTTTCTTTCTTTCTTTACAGGCTCTTCTTGTTTCTCTGGCCAATTTCTCTGCCAACTGTCAGATTAGCATGGAATAGCACATGGTCTGCTTGATGCTGGAGGCCACTTTTTTTTCCATGTCTTTTTGACAGACAAGAATCTAATTTATTTCTCTAGGTTTCTCTTATGGCTTCATGTAAATTTTCTTTATGTAGATCATTGAATTATAAAAGTGAATTTATAATTTTAATGTTCCTTGGGCTTTTTGGTAAAGAGTTTGATGGTGAAGTAGGTGTTCGAATTGTCTTGTTGACTCTATAGCAGAAGCTCAAATTTATTTTTAGTGCCAGCACATGTAGTATCATCTTGATTGGAAAAATTCAGAATCAGGAAGGATTTAAAAATATATTTAAATGAACCCGAGCACATTTAGTTATTAATTTATGGTATTGTAGTCCCAGTGCCTAGTTGCCACCGATCAAAGTTCCATTTGGAAAATGAGTTCTGGCTGCCAATAAAAATATTGAAATGTTCTAAAAGGCAGATGGTTCAACTTCAAATTTACTGAAAGTTTGCAAATACATGTTCATATGGTAAAAGATAAAACAAGTTTTATCTAGTTGCTAGGGAAAGCACGTAGATACTAGAAGATATTTGAGGCCACTGAAACCACTGATTATGCAACTTGCAAGACACTGTTAATGAATAGTAAGCTTATGGCTGAAATGCACTTATTTGTGATTCATTATAGTTTATTTCTTGGATAAATTTTCTAAGCCGTTAATGTGCCTGAAAGATTTCTACCGTCAGTGTGAAGTCATTGGTCATTCTAACTTATTTGATGCACTTAACCTTTACATTCTCAGGTGGATGTGTGGGCACTTGGAGTCTCAGCAATCGAAATGGCAGAGGTACATATATTCAGCAAATTAATTACTTCACATTCTTCAGGAAAACCTAGCTTGCCTGGCTCTCCACCCTTTTACCTTCCCGTTTTGTTCTTTCCTTGGGCTGTGTCATACTAGTTGTAGTTCCAACAACCAATATGAAGTCAATTGAAGTTCTTAAATTAATGAGGATGTAATTCCTTAACCACGATTCCAAAATTATATACTGATAACCAGTCTTTCATAAAACAATAATAACTACAAACTGTTATTCTCATACACTTGGAACTCAATATGTAAACAAATCTTTTAATCAATTGAACTGTGTCCAACAAATAAACGCCTCTACTTTCAGCCTGAAGTCTTTTGTTTTTTATACTGAAAACTATAGGGAGATGAGCTACAAAGCCCAATAAGAGCATAGTCCATATAAGAAAATTTCTATGAATCAAGCATTTATAAAGCCTCTAATAATTACACAAACAATTCACCAATAGAAATACTTCAAAAACAAATCATTTTTTTATTTTTATCACTCTTCCTTCATTAACAAACCTTAGTAACCCTACATTTATTATTGTTTTGTGTTGCTTGAACCTGTACTACCTCAATGGAGCATTTGCGACCCTCGTGGCCATTTTAGTGACCCTTGTGGCCATCTAGTTCTTTTTGAATTGAGTAGTGTGTACCAACTTCAGGAAGGGAAGAGATGGAAAAAAAGGAGAGGAAGAATTTTTTGTTGCCTGAACAGTTTTTTTTGTGTGTGTGTGTGTGTGTACATGATTTAAATATGTTCACCATGTGATTCTTGACACCTAGTAAACTTTCTTTTTATTTTTTCCAGGGACTTCCTCCTAGATCGACAGTGCATCCAATGAGGGTTAGTGGCTGAATGCATTTGAACTTCTGTCTATTAGTTAATATTTTCTGATTGATATATATTTCCCTATCCACATTTTTGTGTGTGGTTGTTATGGCATTGTAAAATTCGCCCTATAACCTAGATGTATAAAATGTGGAGAGGATATGGGTCCAAGAGAACTGAATAATCTGGGTTCACTGATTGGTTTGAATATATAATATGCAATCAGCAGTTAGGCTGTGAACATGCTGTTTCTTTTCTTTGAAGATCATAGCTGTCAAACTTTCTGTCTTTTCTTTTTACTTCGTTTGTTATATGAATTATTTATTCCACACTTGGGGCTTATATCATATCCTCAGCACTGGATTCCATTCTTGGATGCTAAGTTTGGTGTTCAGTTTTAAATACACAAATAAAGGACATGGCACGATGAGTGCTATTGCACCTCTGATTGTTGTGTACCCAGACTAGAGAGCATTGAACAGTAATCTTTTTAGTACATGTGAGTGTATAGGTAGGACTAGAATTTGGTTTGTGTCGTCGAGCAAAGCTGATTTATCTTCCTGTCCCTTGTAATGAAGGAAACCCAAAATTGATTGTTTATCAAGTTTTTATGTAAAACTTTTATTTTATTGTGTAAAACATATCGTCAGTTGAAGGGACAAAAGTGGTTCTTTTAATTGTATCTCTTTTCTGTGAAATTTCTGCTCTAGGCATGCTTTTGTTGTTAATAATATCTAGGAAGATAAGTGCTACAGTTTTGGAGGACCAGATTTTAGTGTGCTTTACATTGTCATTACTTGTCTTAGTTTGCCATTTGTATTTTCTGTGCAGTGGCTTATCTAATAGACTAATTCATAATATGGTATTCAGACATCCTTTGGTCACTGGAAGTGTATATCATACAAATTCCCACTTGGCCTCAGCTCCTTCAATCATCTTATTTTCAGAATTCGTATAACAAACTTTGAGGTCATATTGACCTTCTATTGTTGATTATTCATAGCTTTCATTCTATTATATCTTTGATGTTGATTGTAGATGCCTTTAAATTCTTCTGTCTGGAATGAATGTTAGGTAATAAACAAGCATCTATACTTGTTCCGAAATTGGGGAAGAGTAGTCCTTTAATTAACGGAATATGCCATCTTATTTTTACAAGCACATAATTGAAAAATATTTGACCTCTAATTTTTATCTGTCTTGATCGAAAATCTTCTGATTGAATGATTCTAGTATGAAGAACTCACGGATTTATTGTCTATGATAGGTATTGTTCATGATATCCATTGAACCAGCTCCAATGCTCGAGGATAAAGAGAAATGGTTTGTCTTTGATTCTCTGTTAGTTATCTAGTTACACATTTCTCCAAATGTTCACCTTTTCAAATTGCATTTTTGAGAATGGTATTATATGTATCATGCATTTGGCATGAAAATTGGAAATTCAACTAATAAACTTAGAAAGGTTCATGTCTACTAGACTGCTACCGTTAGACAGCTTCATGAACTTTTGCAGCCATTATGCTCCATCTAGGTTCCAGAACTTATATCTTATTCTAGTTGCTCAACTTCAATTCATATTCGTTTATGGCCTTCTCGTTGTTTTTGTAGTGCTTTAACATGAGCAGAATACTGTTGTTTGTGGTGCAACTCTTGATGAATAAAACCTAAGAATTGGATCTACCTGACCTCAATTTGGTTTTGGTTTGGCTTCCAAGGGGTTTTTGTCCAGTTTTGGGTTTTATAAAATAAAGACCGGTTAAGGTTGGTGAAGTTTTGCTATAACCTGTCTGCTAAACTGGCTGGCTTTGAACTGAGCCTTCTGTGGCATATTTTGTTTATATGTAGTTTCTTGTAAGTTTTATAGTTTCTCCTCATTTCACTTTTTGGAAAAGGCTATAATCCTATGGTGTAGTTGTCATATACTCAATAATAGGTACAAGATAAAAACGGTCTTGTTAGGCACATTTGTCTCTTGAGATGACTTCTCGTCAAGCTATGAGCAAATCTCCTTGGCTTTTGTTTGGTTCCTCACACATAATGCCTGCTCATTCGACATTTGAAGTACTCAACTTTTTCTTGACAAATGTAAATTCTATACATAACAAGAAACTGAAAGCCTGTTTATACATTGGGATACACAAATCTAGAAGACAGAGAACATGAAAAGTCCAATGTCAAATAGGCTCTCCTAATTTTTTTGCAGGGTCCATAGGAAATGATACCTAAAGAAATAGCATTTATTAAAAAGTGGATGCTGGCCTCTTCCATGGGTCAATTTTTTTCCCCTCTTTGTTGAAATTCAACAAAATACAGCATGAAGAACTGATTCCAACTTCCTCAAGTCATACAAAATAAATAATTAAATAAAACTGTTTTTAATGAAGTGGCGACAGTTGATGCACATAAGAGTAGTCAAGGCAATGACTGTAGGCTTGGCAGTCAACTAATCACATTGGGTTAGAATCTGCATGCTTGTTTAATCAATCTCCCACACAAATTTCTATCAATTACAAATATATGTATTACCACAATATTGTATAATGTCTAGGCTTATCTAGTTTGCTTCTACAGGTCCCTTGTGTTCCATGACTTTGTTGCGAAGTGTCTCACAAAAGAACCACGCCTACGACCTACTGCATCTGAGATGCTAAAGGTATGTTAGAATAGTCTATTCTATTCATACTAAGAAATTAAATAGATCTCTCTTTATTCAACTGCTTGTAGAACTGTTTGAGTGTTATCTTCTTATTGGGTGCAGTCCATTTCAAATCCCAATCTTCCTACAATTGTTCCCTCCTTGAGCTGGTTTTGATTTCTTACATCACTACTATAATGGTATTGAATAGTGGTAGGTGACCTAGAGAACCAAACAAATGAACAATCTTAAACATGTGCGTAGAAGTTAATGATTAAAACTGAAAGGACTGCTTGTTGAGAAGTTAATGGTTAATTTTTGGAGTTTCCAGAATTTGATTGTTGAGTATAATCACATAGGCATGGTTGGGAACAATTTGACAATAGCCACCAACACCAATTAAATGCATGAAGCATCATCACGTGCATATATTCTTTATGGCTTTCCTTTTACGTTGAATGCACATCTGGTTTGGCTAACGATAGTTTAAGTCTAACTTGAACTAATTGTCTGTCTTTGGAATTAGCACAAATTCATTGAGAGATGCAAAGCTGAACCTTCTGTAATGTTGCCGAAGTTTGAGAAGGCAAGGCAAATTAAAGCTTCGATGGTTTTGGAAGCACAAAATATTGCTTCAGGGACTTCTGTACCAGGAGATGGTGTATGACAAAATTTAAATTTTGTTCCTTTAGCTCTCTTTGTGGAAAACTCTTGTATCTTGCAGTAACTGTTTCTTATATATACAGGCATTGGGAGGTTTGAAAGTGAATGAAGACTATGGAGACACAGTTCCATCAAGGCCTCATGATGTTGCCGGTGGAGTTCCTGCTGTGAGTGGAACACAAAAGCAGCACATTTCTGCTGCTGTGGAACTCTCTGGGGAAGGTATTCATGTCTTGATCAGTTTTTGTATTGCATCATCAGACTTATATTCTCTAGGGTATGGGTACTAAACCATACAACTGTGTTGTGACTTTACATTCAGAACCGGAGCGAAACCTAATCTTCACATCTTCACATAGTTCTGGTTGGGAAGTTGGGCTTGAAAAATAGGACATTTATGAGTGAACGAAGTGGTTGAGCTTGAGGGGAGCTTTGTGGGTCCTCTTGCATTTGATAAAAAACTTAAGTGAATTCATTGGAGAGTAAATGAGCTTTGTGCATTATTGTTGAACATTAAATAACAAGTGGTGTAATGAGCTAACATTAACAGGCAATGTTGTCAAGGTGTGTATGAACATTCCAAATTCTGTAAATTTAGCTGCATGGCCAGTATGGGCTATTTCATTTGTTACTGCTGAATTCTGTGAGTATGGCATGGTACCTTTGTACAAAAATGTTTTGATTGTATTTTTTTGTTGGTTTATCTTTCTGGTCTTGATCTACTTCTTTTGTGATTACATAAACTAGTGTGACTATTAAGGAGACTATTTAATGCAATTTTGTGCTGAATAACTTGATATCTTGCTGAAGGGTAATATAACCTGTCATGGCTCATGATCTTGAAAAAGGAAAATAAAGGAAAAAAGTAGGAGTAATATTACTTTAAGAGCAAGTTAGTTAACTAAGGCTCTCTGCTTTCACGTGCATACATCCGTGCAAATATATCTTTCCTCTAAACAGATGAAAGGACATTTTTTTTTTTTTGAGCGTGGTATGTGTTTTATGAGTTACTTTTATTTGTCAGGAGACTTTGGGACTGTAATAGTTCATGCTGGAGTTGAGAATTATAAAACATCTACTCGAACACCAGTGCCCAATGCAGCTGGAGTTTCACCTGATTCCTGGCACGTTGAAGGTCCTTCTGTCAGTGGTGCAGGAGATAAATTAGTTGACCCCGGGTACTTTTTTTACTATATACTTTCTAACTTTCGTACAGGCACTGAGATCCTTGATTCTTACTTCTCTTTTTTCTTGTTCTTTGTGAGTGTGTGTGAGTGCTTGCACACATCAGCTTTTCTTTTTTAAACAGAGATTTCACCAATAGTGTTTCATAAATTTGCAAGTTTTCTTTTGCGGTTATCATTTAATATTCAATTCTCATGTATGCACCATGAGCATGTACTTTTCTCTCTGTTTTTGTGTGTGCACCAATTCATTAAGATGTCCTGTCAGGGGCCAAAATGCAGTTGGCGTCGATGTAGATAGCTTTCAGAGTAGAGGATCACAACCTTTTGGACAGACCATCCAAGCATCTTCGCCTTCAATGTTTGCCTCTCCTGAACTCCTCAAGGCAAATAGCCTTTCTCAGGCACAGGTTGGAAATATTGATGGCACGAGCAGCGGCCCATTAAAGAATGAAACTGTCAGTCGGAAAGCATTAGATAAGGTAAACTTTATTTTCTACTATAAATTGTTGTAATTGATAGATGTTCATCATTCCATCTATTTTTTACCATATTGAACGAAGAGGCAAACAAGGTTCAAGTTTTAGCTTCTGATCTCAGTTCATACTATTTTTATCATTCAAATATCAACTTCTGATCAAAAATCAATTGTTCGGATATCAGAAACCGAACAAAAACCTAGTTGGTATTGAAAAATTTAAATTTGTTCAATTATTGATATCCAAACAATTACTTTTGGTTTTGGTAGTTGATATATGAACAAACAAAATGGTGTGAACTATTTGGTCAAATGCCCCGAGTTCTGAAGCTTGATCAATGTTTATATTAAACACTAATATAAGCTGTTGATGAATTCATGTTCACATTTAACTGCTATGGAAGTTTTGGATTACTAATTGTGGTGTACTGGTGGAAATTCTTTACTACCCTTCAATTGTCGGAAAGTGCAACCCTCCTTTACATCAGTTTGTCAAATTTCCTGATTTATGCATTAAAAACTCGTTTAATCACTCCATTTTGGCTGAATTTCATTGCCGTATCTACCATTGTTTTTAGACAAATCCAGTTTGGAATACACGTCAAAATCTTTGATTCATTTTATCTGAAATTTAACCACATCCTCAGAATGAAGCCTAAATGCAACTGGATTGTGTTATGGATTTTTTTTGCTTCTGTACTGTTTAATAAGCCCTTTTCCCATTCTCCGTTTTTTTTTTCATAATTCTTATGTTTATGAATGCAACTTGGGTGCATGCTCACTTGTGGTTTATTTTCATTATAGCTTTGGTCAATATATGCGGCTGGTAATACAGTCCCTATCCCATTCTTGAGGGCAACCGATATATCACCCATTGCACTGTTATCTGACAATGTGCTTGGAGGATGGCAGCGGGATAGTAGTGGAACCATAGCTGTGGAAGCAGTGCAGGAGCTTTTTAGTGGGGATGGACCTTCCAGAAAGGGCAGAAGGGGACAGAATGAGGTTCTCTCTCTCTCTCTGTCTGAGCCATTTATTTGGGCTTACTTTTCACTACTTAAATGTGCTGCAGGTGCCCCTTCCTCCAAGTGTGTACCAGAGACTCACTTCAAGTTCTACGCTAATGAATCTCACCCAAGCTTTAGCTTACCACAAAATGTATGATTCTCCAATTTGTCCAGTCATAATCGTAATTATATTTTGTTTTGTGTGAGTTGTGACTGCTTGTGAGTCATCTTAAGCAAGGAACAACTATTAAAATCTGGGACTTTTGGATATGGCTTTTGTTTGCATTGTTGTTTTCATTTTGGGAGATTTTGAAAATGAGAATGAAGAAAGTTATTAGACATGGTCATTCTTGAATTCTTTTTAGGGTAAATTACAAATACTCCTTGAGATTTGCTTAAAATACAGATTGTCCCCTATGGTTTGAAAAATTACAAATACCCCCTGTTAGAATTTTTTATTAAACAGAATTAACTAAAAAAATGAAATTCATAATTATTCTTCTATACAATAATAAAATTATTTAAATTATTAATTGAAATATATTTCTAACATCATTAAAAATTGTTAATTGACTTGACGATTTATTAATAAAAGGGGTGATTTGTTATGAAATTAGAAACCTTGGGGGTGGAATGCAATTTCCAAAATTTTAGGTTGCGATTTGTATTTTAATCAAATTGCATGGGTGTATTTGTTATTTACCCGTTTTATTTTCTAATGGACTTTTTGAAATTTAATTTTTTAATTTTTTTTGAAATTTGTTATTTACCCTTTTTATTTTCTAATGGACTTTTTGCGATTTGTATTATTTTCTAATCAAATCGCATCGCGTTAGTTATTTTTTTAATTTTTTATTTAGAAATCTGAAAACTGTTTAGATTAGTTTCTTGAAATTTTTTTGAGTAACATATTAACTGAACTCATTTCTCTGCCATTATTGTTTTCCCCCTTTGTTAGAATATCCATTTATCATGTGTTACTTATTACTCCTTAGTTGTTCTTGGTCATCTCCATTTTTGTTTGTTGCAGGTGTTATGAAGAGATGCCACTGCAGGAGCTACAAGCAACACAAGAACAACAAACCATTCAAAACCTTTGTGATACTCTTCGAACTATTCTCCGTTTATAGTTGATCGCTCTTGTTTTCAAGTTAAACAAAAAAATGTATATTTATGACTTTTTGTCTTTAACCTTGTATGTATATTTATGATTTTTTGTCTTTAACCTTGTTTTTCATCTATCATTAGGTAAATATTGTTGTTATTATTACTTTCTTTGTGTGTGTGAACTCAATTTTGTAGAGATCTTGAAAAGCAAAATTTGGGGAGGCAATGAGAAAGTGTTCAGTCTCATCTTCTTGTAAGAACATCTCCATGGTTCACTATTTTTTTCATCAAATCTGAGCAAAAAAAAAAAAAAACAATTTCCTCAATCTGATATCATGATATCAGATACTCCAACGGTGCTTTCATCAAAACACCTGATGTCTAGGTGGATGATTGGCTGGTCGATCGGCCGGTCGACCGACAAGAGCATTTCATGAAAAAAATTTCCCCCTCAATTTCAGTGTTTTCAAGGTTTTCTTCTGTTTCTTCTGTAGAGAAATTGGAAAGCAGCTAGCTTCCCACGAAACCCTATTTTAACATAGGGAGGAGAGAGAGAGATCATAATACCTAGGAAACCCGATTCTCTCTCTAGAAATTGTCTTGCGCGAAGAAGAATTGCAAGGGTTTCGCACCATCAAATTCAAAAATGGTCAGTTATCTTCTACTGATTTCACCAACCGATGTTTATGTCTTTACTGTTATTTGAGTTCATTTCATATTTAAAAGTTCCTAGGTTAATGAGCTGTTCAATTCTTCATCATGATAGCTGATTGTATCTCATCTCAATTCTCACTTGATGTTTATGAATTCGCACCACTTTTTCTCTCTAATTTTGGGCATTAATGTGATGATGCGTTAAGAGGAAGAAGAAAGCTGGAGTTGAACAAATGAAAAAGAAAAAGAAAAGAATGGAGTTGAACAAATGAAAAAGAAGAAGAAAAGAATTCCATGGATGAGTTGTTTATATAGAAATTAGAATAGAGAGATGAGTTGTTTTTCTAATTGTATTGAAGGTTTTGGAAACTTTACTTTCTCTTGTGAACCGGATAACCAGGTGGACAATTGGCCGGACATCCGGTGGATTCCAACCCAACGTCTACACATAGTAAATTGATGAACGCTTTCCAGATATTCAATTTGGTGAAACATCTGATGTTTTATCAATTTAATACAATTTTGGTGACATCATTAGAGCACCAAAAGTATTTTTTTTTTATCAAATTTGAATTTGGTGATACATCTACTGAATAATTGGAGATGGTCTAAGTTTCTCTATTTGCGCATCCATGTTTGTGCGAAAACATTTTTTCATGATCAATAAAAATGAAATTACCTTTGATAGTTTCATAATTTGAGTGATGACTTCTTTTTCTATGTCAATATTAATTAAATATATTAATTTTTAGTGGTGACTCCTTAGTTTTCATGTTCACAATTCACATGAAATTACCTTTTAGACTTCTTTTTCGTAGATTATTTTTTTTAGTAATAACTTAGCAAAAGTGCCTATAATTTTGGACCCACCTAGGGCTAATTCCTAGATCTGCTACTGTGGGGAATCCAAAGCAGGGCTGATCATAATAAAAGAAATAAATAAATTAAAATGATCACTTCTGTTGGGTGAAAAAAAAAAAAATCAAATTCTGTAAGTTTGACATAGATTTATTTATTTTTAATAAGGTTAAAATGATCAAAATTAATTCATTTGATTTATAAACACAGATAATTAAAAATGTATATATACATTTTAGTGTAAAATAAATAATTCTATTATTTTTTCATTCACACGATAAACAAATTTTATCATGAAAAAATGTTGTCATATTTTTTTATTAAAATGTATATTTTATTTTATTTATTTTTGTATTTACATACTATCTGTATTGATTCTAATCACTTATTTTTGTTGAAATAAATTATACAAAACTTATAAAACTTGATATATTTGTTTTAATGATAAGAATATGAAAGAATTTGGCTGTCACAATGGGGGAACATTTGATTTAATTACTACTTTATCTTATTAAATGCCAGAGACCAGAATTAAATGCTAGAAGAGTAGTGACCATTCCTTTGAATTGCAATAAGCACCAAATTTAACTAAAAAGTTATCTTAACTTAAAATATAATTAATTATGTGCCCCTCTTTGAATTAATAGAGATAGAGACCAGCAGATGCATACATTTATGAGAAATCTCGCACCTTGGATATATAACTACCCAAGCATGTATTAGAAATTTCATTTGGTTGCAAAATTGGAGAGAGATTTAAATTGAAGTTGAAAGCTTTTAATACTGTTGTTTGATTGTGTTTTTGTTGTCTTTGATTTTGCGTTTTGTGTTTTTAAAAATAAAAACAATAAAAGTTTGAAATCACTTTTCATGTTACTTTTATTTTTGTGCAAACATAATTTTCAAAAAATTAAAAGGTTATTTGACAAGTGTGTTTAGTTTTCTATTTACATAAAATAGAAAAAAAAGTTTTTTTTCCCTACCCCTACAAAATAACAACAAAAACTTGTTTAATATACACAAATATTTCGAAACAAAATAAAGAAAATGCTTAATTAGTTTGCAAGATGTGATAGCTAGCAATAGAGGGTAGTTGGCGACGGCTGCCGGAAGTAACGAGAAGGTGGTTGAAGACTTGTTGGAGGTTACCGATTGGAGTGTTGGGAAAAACTACTCACATTACATAATTTCACATTGCATATCGCAAAATTATGAGATGAACAAAAACAAACCTTCAATCCCAAGAAAAATAACATGCTGAATAAAATACAGATAAAATATAAAATGGTTAAAGGAAGCAAACCGAAACCTGTGTGATACCACAGTTTCCTTAAAATAGATTTGCCGCCTCACCGTTGGGTGATGGAGGTACGCCGGCGTCTACTTCCCAGGATATGACGATTTTTTACCAGCTACAACAGAAGCACATTCTGATTAGCTTAGCGAGCGGATAACGGCAGCACTCTCTCTCAGGAAGAAAATTATAGAAGAAGTAGACTGACAGTGTATGGATGTCAAGGAAAAATTCTATATCTCTTTTCAAGGAATAGGGCCTCCTTTTATACACCATGGGGGAGAGGGGAGGAGCCTCCAGCCATTAAGGCTGGCAACTAATGCTAGCAAAACTGCCCAATCAATTTTGTAAAACTGATGAGCCTTAAATGTGTGAGTTATATATACATTTATGAGGCAATTTCTTATTCAACCATTTTTCTCCAACAATCCCCCACATGAATAAAAATTGACCGAATACAGCAAACGCTCAACGTTTATCAACAAAGACTCGGAAAGAGAGAGAGCACATAGACTAACCCTACATCAGAAAAGGTAGCTGTTGGCCTTGAACCTTTCGTAGTGAAAGCCTATCGGATTTACTGGCTGACCAGTGAACGTGATGTCTTGAACTGTTCTGCCGTTTATGTAAACCGAGACAATAGACCTCACACAGGAGTTAGTCCAACCATTGTTCTTGTTCTCACTGGTGTGTCCGGTATGGCCCTGGAACACTAGCCTGGTTCTGTGAGTGTTTTTAAAGAATTCGACCTTGGCAATTCTTAAAGAAGCGGCCCCACTTCGCACTCACATAGGTGACCTAGATACGGTATTTCATTATACCACATCACTAAGGTCATTAAAAGCATTAGCTTAACCTTCCACCCCCATAGGGCATCACTGTATAAAGGAATGGGCAAGAGGATTTACCTCTTCAGTGACTCACCCGTTACACGAAGTTAGGTTGTCCCTTTGAATCTAGATCTTGGGATCTCCAGTCAACTAGGTTGGGTTTTCCGTTCCGGTAACCTTTACTAAAGGCCTTAACCCCATTCCTCTTGACGATTTTTCTACTAACTCTCGAGTTAACCCTTTGGTTAGCGAATCCGCAATGTTGTCCTTAGACTTGACATAGTCTAGAGAGACAACTCCATTTGAGAGTAGTTGTCGTATGGAATTATGTATACGACGGATATGTCTAGACTTTCCATTATACATATTATTCTGTGCCCGACCAATCGCTGATTGGCTATCGCAATGAATACTGATAGCTGGCACAGGTTTCAGCCAACGTGGAATATCCTCAACAAACTGGCGAAGCCATTCAGCTTCTTCAATTGCTTTATCTAAAGCAATAAACTCAGATTCCATTGTTGATCTCGAGATACACGTTTGCTTGGCAGATTTCCAAGACACGGCTGCCCCTCTGAGGGTAAACACATAACCACTAGTGGATTTGGAATCTTTTATATCAGATATTCAATTTGCGTCACTATACCCTTCTAGTACCGCTGAGTATCTGGTATAATGCAGCCCATAATCCAGGGTGTAACGGATATACCCCAACACCCGCATAATGCCCTTCCAATGAGTAGCATTAGGATTACTCGTGTATCTACTCAGCTTACTAACAGCGTAGGCGATATCCGGCCTTGTACAACTCATCAGATACATCAAACTCCTAATGGCCCGAGAATATTCTAGTTGAGAGCCACTCTCACAATTATTCTTGGTCAAATATAGACTTAAGTCTACCGGTGTCCTAAACATACTTGTATTTGACTTTCTAAATTTCTCAAGTATCTTATTAACATAATGAGCTTGAGAAAGTACAATACCACCAGATGTTCTGGTGATCTTAACACCCAGAATGACATCTGCAAGGCCCATATCCTTCATGTCAAACTTAGAGTTTAACAATCTTTTGGTAGCTTTAATCATTTCATCATTGCTACCAACAATGAGTATATTATCAACGTATAGACACAAAATGACATAACTTTTATCAGTGTCTTTAACATATACGCACTTATCACACTCATTGATTCGAAACCCATTTGACAACATAGCATTATCAAACTTCTCATGCCATTGTTTGGAAGCTTGCTTCAAACCATACAATGACTTGACAAGCTGACTTTCTTACTTTTTCCTGGAACTGAAAACCCCTTGGGTTGCTCCATGTAGATTTCTTCATCTAAATCTCCATTTAAGAAAGCTGTCTTTACATCCATCTGATGTATTTCTAAACCACGTAAATCTGCTATTGTAATCACCATGCGAATGGATGTAATCCTTGTCACAGGTGAATACGTATCAAAGTAATCTAGGCCTTATCGTTGTCTATATCCTTTGATAACTAGCCGAGCTTTATATTTGTCAAT